CCGAAGCAGGCTCCAGGCTCTGAGCAGTCAGCACAGAGCCCGACGTGGGGCTCGAACCCACGAACCGTGAGATCATGACCTAAGCGAAAGTCGGACGCTTAACCGACTAAGCCACCCAGGCGCCCCTTTAAGTTTTTTTTTGAGGGAGAGACAGACAGACAGACAGACAGACACACACACACACACACACACACACACACACACACACACACACAGAGTGTGAGTGGGGGAGGGGCAGAGAGAGAGGGAGACCTAGAGTCCCAAGCAGGCTCTAGGCTCCGAGCTGTCAGCACAGAGCCCGACGCGGGGGCTCGAACTCGCAAACCGTGAGATCATGACCTGAGCTGAAGTCACACATTTAACCCAACTGAGCCACCCAGGCACCCCTAAATATTTTAAATTCAAACAAATAATTTTTGAGGAGTCTGACCCACGGGTAATTTCTCCCTACTGGGTGTCTGGGATTTTCCTACAGCCTCCAAGCCAGGCCATTCCTTGCTACGATTCTCCTGGGATTGTGATGTGGGGCCAGAGGCTAGACGCCACATTCTTCTCATCTTTTCTGCACCATCCATAACTGTGGCAGTTAGTGGTTTCCAGTGTTTGTTTCTGTAAAGTGGAGTAAAATGTGGACACCATGAGCTGGCCTGAGCCTGGAGACCCTGGAGGTTTCGAGTGCCTTCGAGGGTGTTGCTCTTTTGCAGTCGACGCGCCTTCCTTTGATGGAATCGTTTTCTTCCTTTGTAGTTTGTCTTGACCGAACCTTTCATTTTCTTTCTTTCCTTCTTATTTTTTTTACAGATTTTATTTGTAAGTAATATCTCTACCCAGCATGGGGCTCGAACTCACGACCCTGAGATCAAGAGCCATGTGCCCTACCGACTGAGCTGGCCAGGCACCCCTGAACAGAGCTTTCTAAAGAGCATCATCTCGGAGAGGCATCGCCTTACCTTTTGTACTCCTTGTTTCAGTGGCTTATTGTGTAATAGTTAATTAATAACGCTAACGTCAATGACTACAGTCATTGTAAGCATTTAAGGAATGAGGCTGACTTGCACGTGTACAGTTCAGTGGACAGGACCCTTTGCAGGGGGCACTCTGGAGAGGAGCCTGTTGACCACAAATGCTGAGCACTTTCCGGTCATCCGTCAGAGCTCTTTCCAAGGGGGAATGAAGAATGTGTGTCACGTCAGCAAGTCAGGCGAGTAGAGGTGGGTTAGGATGGCTCCACTGTCTTTTTCTGATAGTGCTTCAGTCAGTTCATTATTCAGCAAGGAAGCCGGTCAGTCATTCAGTAGGTTAAGCCCACCCCCTGGTGAGCTGACCTTTGGCCGGACGGTCATTTGCTGGTGGCAAGCTGACTTTCCGGAGAATTAGCGGGTGCTGGGGCAGACATGAGGTCAGGCAGCCACTGGGCCACAGCGTACAGCTCACAAATGAAGACACAGGTGGCCTGGAGCTTGGCACGGAGTCCTGTGTGCCAGGGAGCGACTTGGGCCGGGGCCTGCCCGTGAGGCCGTCACACTGCAGGGGTTCGTCCTGAGGTGCCCATGGGAATTCCCGTCCACGCCACTGTGAGAGGCTGTAGGTGTCGTAGAGCAAGATTTGTGGTGCCCTGGCCAGACACTCCTCCATTTGAGCCCCTCTGGCCTCGTTGCCTCTTTTGTGGCCCCTAATTGAATGAGGGCTGCCTCTTACCACGCTGTTTGTGTTCCAGACGCTAGGAGATGAGTTCTCTCTGACCTTTTCATCCCTTCTAGTGCCTAGCAGGGCTTTACGCAACTACCACCAACCCTCCGTCTGCTCCTCCCCAGGGGATCGCTAGGGTTTATTCCTCTTGCGTAGTTGAACAGCAGCATCTCCTTTCCTCATTCTTTTAAGGAAGCTAAATGGCTAAATGTGCACTTTGTGCAGACGGTGTTCCGTGTGCTTGCGGTAGTAGATGCCGATGGCTTCTCAAGGTCGGGAAGCGTGACCTTCAGTGAGTCTTAATGTCAACATTAACGTTGACGATGCGCCCATGCC